AATAAACCTCTTTGTTGTGAAAAAATACCATATAAGTTTGATTATCTTGTTTGCCATAACATCAAAACTTTTGGCGATAAGCCTCTGGTTCTAACTCGTATGCTTTGAAAATAACTGCTTTAACCTTATCACAATTCGTACAATCTTCTAAAGAGAGAGAGTGGCATAAGCTTCTTGTGCTTTACCAGTTAAGACACTTTGTAATAATAATGACCATTTTCGGTGGGCTATTCCATGGTTTGGGCAACCTTCTCAAAATGTTGTAAATATATATCAACTTCATTTTCATTATATGGTGGTACTTTAACATATCGATTAAGTTCAAAGTTGTCATTTTGCTTTGGTCGATTGGAGTTGAGTCTAATTTCCATTTTTTTTTCAGTCTAATATCCTTTTTGGCTTAAATGCCAGCATTTCGGCTGCGAGACGTTTATCTTCTCTTTCAGCTTCGATACGTGCTTCTTTAAGCTTAATTTGTTTGAGCTTTAGCTTCAGCTCTAATTTATCTTTATCACTCAACCCCGATTGGCTAGTAGGGACACTAGACTGTGACTAGAGTATTCCTCAATGCTTCCTCAGACAACAAATCATCATCGACTAGTATTGCGATAATATACATTTTTTTAGCTCATTTTTCTCATTGATAATTTAATTTCTAGTTCTAAAACTTTGGCAATTTCTAGCAATTAATTTGTTTATACCCAGTTGTTTGAGGAAGGGTGATTCAAGAAAATCTTGATAATCACACATGATCAAATCTTGTTGGCACTGATAGATATAGATAGAATTATGATATAAATTTTAATTTAGATCGAATTTTGTCTCTGATTTAGATCCCGGATGAGCCCCAATTTATTATGTTATGTATTAGAAGTTCAAATATCTGAAATTGAGTTATATTGTAATTTAGATTTAGAAGTTAAATAAATGCTGATATATCCAGTTTATGATATTTGCCAACAAGATTGATACACACCGTTTTCTTTGTTTTATACAAATATGTTTTAGTATACAAACAATAATACAATTTACAATAACAGTTATTACAAACAGTTACTACAAACAATGATTTATGTACAAACGTTCCACAAATTTACAAGCAATACAAATTCTTCTTTCTAGTCTGGAACGTCTTTGATGTCTTATCGAGGGTTCACGATGAGCGAGTAATTTCGAGTTGACGTAGCTAGCTCTGTATTCTTTGCCAATTTTTTTCCACCGATGAAATTAGGTAATGTTTTCGTAAAAGTACTAATGTCCAATGTAAATCCACTGAAGTTGAATGATTTATAATGTTCGAAATTTATGAACGTTCCTGGTCAACATATTTGATGTTCTCGATTAATAAACATTAATCACAGTTATAGCTTACGAACTTTATAGCACAGCAATTACAGCAACCCAATAATAGATAATCTCTTTTTTTGGCGTGTGGAAAGTTTCTCGAAGCTTCAGCTTACGTAACAGCACTAACACGCTACACTATCGTTTACGTACACACGTATATTGCTGATTCTTACATTCGAGAATCTTCGACAACTTTAGAGAATAGGCGGGAGTTTCGCAATACATATTTAACAGTATACGTTATGTACATTCCTAAATATAAATTTAATATAAACAAACATCGATATTAAAATATATATAGAATAAAAAATCCGTCACAGATGCCAAAACAGTCAAAAGTACTTGCCAACTTAAAAAAGAAAAGAAGGTTTAGAAGTGTTTAAAATGTTGGTAATGGCATCAGATAATCTTAGGAGCTAATCTATTGTCGAAGGGTGTGGACGAAAATCAGCTTTGTTATGGGTGAGGAATGTTACATCGAGTTATATGAACATGGAGTCTGCAAACGAGTATCTTTTCTCAATAGTTTTGCTAAGAACATTAGCAAGACTGATGGCAGAGTAAGAATCAAAATTCACTGAAGATTTAAGGTTTCAAGAAGAGTAAAACAGTTAATTTCTTCCAAGATACTGGGTAAAGCTGGTGCAAATGACAAAATTGTAGAAAGTGACTAGAAGGAGCAAGAATCAGGTCGAAATGTTCCTGAGACGAGAGTAAGTCCAACCATCAAGGGACAGGGGATAGTAAGAGCCCAAAAGTAAGAAACCCAAGTATGAAGAGATGACTGCTGATTAGCTGATACAGCTCAAGATGCCAAAGTATATGAAATACCCTAAAACACACAATAAAGGAAGAGTGCAAGACAGATCCCAGAGAGAAGCCTGGGGGAAGTAAGGCCACCCAGTAATGTACATTTCAGAAACAACAACAACAAGAAAAAAAACAGAGTTAACAGGAACAAATTGAAATACGTGGAGAGTAAGGTAGAAAACAGTTGTTTACAAGTTTCAACAGTGAAGGTGACAGAGTCTTGATGTAAAACCTCAAAAAGAAGATGAAGCTTGATAAATAAGTTGAGTCAGTAAGATATGAAGACATTAAAGTGGAGGGAGAGGGAGAAAGAAGGAAAAAAAAGAGAATCCAAAATGAAAGACGAAATTTAAATGATGGAGGATCACACAACAAGGGACCACAAGATTCAGTGAAAAATAACTGCAAAAAGAAAATAAAGAACAAGAGTCATGTCTATGGAATGTAAACAATGAATAACAAAGATGGGAAAAGGAAACTGGAAGCAAAAACAAATGTGGAAACAACATTGGTGAAACTCATAAGAATAGACAAGTTCAGCTGAAGTAACAGAAACAGGTTGGGAATCCTGGATCTGAGGTCAAATTGGAACCAACTAACTGGTGACCAATAGTAATAACACCACTGATCACTAAATTGCCTTCAGTTGCTGTAACAATAGTGAGTGGCAAAACCTCGGAAAATGTAAAAAATGTATAAACATGAAAACATAATTCATTTGGTACACATTGCTGATTTTGGAGTGGCTATCTGTTGTAAAAAAAATAAGAAATACATAAATAGCCCAAAATCCAGGAAAGTTTTCTCTTTCTACTTATTTTATTTAGTTAGTTTTTGCTTTGTTTTGGAGAAAAATATTGAGCCTAATATGTCAATGCTGCATAGACCTAATGAAAACCTTGAAGAGTATTGAGCAAACCCATATGTTGGGTAAACCAACAAGAACTCGTACTGCCAAGAAACCTTAACATAAACAAGAGAGCATATCCCAAAACTACAAATTTGATTAAAAGGAAAATAAAATGTAGATAATTCGAATCAAAATTTTAATACTGAATAATTTAAAATTTGGTATCTTTAGTTGACATAATCAAGACAAGTAAATAAAAAAGACTACCATGAAAGTTTAAAATAATAAGGGCAAGATGCTGGTAATTCGTAAGAAAAATAGATTAGAAGACAAGCAGTGCCTTTGTTTAAATGTTCATGGAAATTACTGTGCATAGAAGATGTGTCACCCTCCTACTGGTGAAGAGCTATAGTCTAATAATGATTACATCATAGGCTAGCACAATACACATTAATATATGTAAGAATTAGAGCTTTGTACAAGATTTATGGCATGCACAAAACTCTTCACATCAGTGTATAAGGTAATAGCTACTTGTTGTGCAATGATGTGAGTAGTGTTTTTGAATAGACGCTTCCAATTGTTATGCAATATGTAACTGAATGGTTTTCTGAATAGAGTCCCTAACTTAACGTACTCAAGGATATTCTATGAGTTTACCAACAATAACGAGAACTCACCACATACACAGTCAGAAACTAACATCTACTGAATACACATAAAAATATATTAACTCTTGAATTTCTTAACAAACACTTTCTTGTATTCCTTTGAGACAATCAACTGCAACATGGCTCGTTCTTCAAAACTAAATAAATTTTTAATTAATACGTATTACTAAAATATACTTACACACATCTGCAACAGCAGTTATTAATTAGTATATTTTAAAACATGACTTGTATCCCCTTTGATTCTTCTATACTCCAAAGAACATAAGTTCAAAATGTTTCACCTCACCAGAGTATTGTTATGACAGCGGAAGTCACGTGACGCTAGTAACACGTCATGAACTTCTAGAAAAATCATGCCCCTTCGTGAAGCCTCGAGTGTTTACTAGATGTACGGTATACTTGTATATAAGACCGCCAAGAAGTGACGGCAACAATGTAATTGAATTGCAGACAGCGATAGAGACGGACAAAGCGCGTGAGTCGTTCGTTGTTAAGTTACAGCGTGACTGTGGAAATTAAGTGTATTGCAAAGTTGTATTGAGAAAGAA